TTGAGTAGTAAGAAGGTTGAGTAGTAAGAAGGTTGAGTAGTAAGAAGGTTGAGTAGTAAGAAGGTTTGAGTAGTAAGAAGGTTGAGGTAGTAAGAAGGTTGAGTAGTAAGAAAGTTGAGTAGTAAGAAGGTTGAGTAGTAAGAAGGTTGAGTAGTAAGAAGGTTGAGTAGTAAGAAGGTTGAGTAGTAAGAAGGTTGAGTAGTAAGAAGGTTGAGTAGTAAGAAGGTTGAGTAGTAAGAAAGTTGAGTAGTAAGAAGGTTGAGTAGTAAGAAGGGTTGAGTTAGTAAGAAGGTTGAGTAGTAAGAAGGTTGAGTAGTAAGAAGGTTGAGTAGTAAGAAGGTTGAGTAGTAAGAAGGTTGAGTAGTAAGAAGGTTGAGTAGTAAGAAAGTTGAGCAGTCCACACCGAGGTTGTCTGCTGAGAACTGTCGATTGATATCTAGAGTAAGAACCAGCGTGTTTTATCTAGATGTATGAGTCAGTGGTGGAGAAAATAGAAGGCTGGGGGAGGGAAGTTGGGGAGGAAGAGAGAAGGAGGGAGAGTAAGAGAGAGAGAGAGAGAGAGAGGGAGGGAGGAGTGTCTTGCGTACTTCACAACCTTCACGTTAATACCTTTACTTTTTTCCGCAGGAATAAATCCACATTATCACTACGGGTTTGGCACTTCCCAGTGAACACATTTACGCATGAAAATACCTAGTAACGATAACACTCTCTGAATCAACGCAACTGTGTAACACCGAAATTCCTACACAATCATCTCATGAGTTCGGACGTGCCCCAAACTAGTATCAACAGTAACTAATTTCGCTTGAACAAGTAACCTTGAATCTTCACTAATACTGTTTTAATACAATTAAAACAAACTAAAGCAAGCTTCACCACTCTGAAAGTTTTAGCAAAATCCCTGTATACAACTCTATGTAAACTGCATCACCATCTTCTACTGTTATATACCACACAAGCACATTACAATGGACACACTATAACAGTACTCTTCTCTATCTACAGCTCTAATGATAATATATCTGTCTAACCTATTTTTATGTTCCATATAATACTCTATATCCTTTTACTCATGTCAATTATATTTTCTAAACATATTGTATTACTACTACTACTACTATTTACTACTAATACTACATACTCTACTACTACTACTACACTACTATTGCATCCTCAACTCTGAGCTATATATATCCTCTGTTCCACTTGTATACTGTCTGTACGGACTACTGACTAAAGCTCCTGGACTGACGTATACACGTTGCACAATAAAATGTCACACTTATTGCACTATGTGTCTTTTACTTTACTATACGATAATATGTATATAACTATAATACTATACATATATATAATATAATACTACTATACTACACTACATAATAATATACTCTACTAATATACTAATACACACTACGTACTACTGCTACTACTACTACTGCTATTACTTACTACTACTCTACTTACTCTACATACTGCTACTACTACTACTATACTTACTACTGCTACTACTACTACTACTACTACTACTACTACTGCTTAAACTACTATCTACTACTACTGCTACTACTGCTACTTACTACTACTACTACTGCTGACTACTACTACTGCTACTACTACTACTACTACTACTACTACTACTACTACTACTACTATAGCGCTACTACTACTACTACTACTGCTGCTACTACTACTGCTACTACTGCACTACTACTACTTACTACTACTGCTGCTACTACTACTAAACTACTACTACTTACTACTACTACTGCTGCTACTACTACTGCTACTACCTACTACTACTCTGCTACTACTGCTACTATTACTTACTATCTATCTAGCTACTATTATACTATGCTACTACTACTACTACTACTACTACTACTACTACTAACTACTGCTACTATTACTACTACTGTACTACTGCTACTATCTACTACTACTATACTACTACTACTACTACTACTACTACTATATTACTTACTACTGCTACTACTACTACTAACTACTACTGCTACTACTACTGCTACTACTACACTACTACTACTACTACTACTACTGCTACTACTACTACTACTACTACTGCTACTACTACTACTACTACTGCTACTATTACTGCTACTACTACTACTGCTACTACTACTACTAACAATCGCACCAAGTACTGCTGTTACGTAGGGTGATGTGTTTTATATGACGTAATTATTTTACGTTTAAAATAATCGCGATAATTGCTTCTGATGACTACACCTAACAATGCTTCTGGTCGGTACTTCATAGTGAGTCCAGACATGGTCTCACACCATGGTCCCAGACCATGGTCTCTACACATGTCCAGACCATGGTCTTACACCATGTTCCCAGACCATGGTCTCACACCATGGTCCCAGACCATGGTCTCACACCATGGTCCCTGACCATGGTATCACCATGTTCCCAGACCATGATTCTCAAAGTGGTCCTAGACCATGGTCTCACTCCATGTTCCCAGACCATGGTCTCACACCATGGTCCCAGACCATGGTCTCACACCATGGTCCCAGACCATGGTCTCACACCATGTTCCCAGACCATGGTCTCACACCATGGTCCCAGACCATGGTCTCACACCATGGTCCCAGACCATGGTCTCACACCATGTTCCCAGACCATGGTCTCACACCATGGTCCCAGACCATGGTCTCACACCATGTTCCCAGACCATTATCTCACACCATGGTCCCAGACCATGGTCTCACACCATGGTCCCAGACCATGGTCTCACACCATGGTCCCAGACCATGGTCTCACACCATGGTCCCAGACCATGGTCTCACACCATGTTCCCAGACCATTGATCTCACACCATGCTGGACTCTCACTGTTCGGTCTCTGACCACTTTTAAAGGATTATTAAGGAAATACTAATGGGAGATACGCAGTAGGGAGGAAGGGAGGGAGGGGTGTGTAAGGGAAGGGGTGTCAAAGGGAAAGGGTAAGAGAGGAGGATAATCAATACATGCCTCACTCCTTACTTACCCCTTTGACCTGAATTTTTCGAAAGAAAGGGAGTGATGGGTGGGGGAATGGTACCCAATAGGGTGGGGGTAAGAATGAGAGGGGAAGGGTTGGGAAGGGGAAGCGAGGGTAAGGGCTGCACCATGGTTACACATACCTCTAAAATACACAGACATACGCACAAGAGCACAGACATACGCACAAAAACATGGTCGTACGTATTAGAACACATTTACACACATGAGGCGGGGCCAGGAGCTATGACCTGATCCCTGCAACCACAAGTGGGTGAGTACAAAGAGATGGGTGCACACAAAGCACAGACATACCCAGAAGAATAGACATGCGCAACAGAACACACAGACACACGCACCAAAACACATAGACACACGAAACAGAACACACAGACACACGAAACAAACACACACACCAGAACACACAGACATACTAACCAGAACACAGACACACGAACCAGCGCACACAGTCACGCACCAGAACGCACAGACTCGCACCATAACACAAGATATACGCACCAGAACACTCAGAGATACGCACCAGAACACACAGACATACGCACCAGAACACACAGACATACGCACCCGAACACACAGACATACGCACCAGAACGCACAGACATACGCACCAGAACACAAAGACTTACGCACCAGAACACACATATTTACCCTTGACAGGTCAGGAGGTACCTCTCTAGACAGGTCAAAAGGTACCTCTCCTGACAGGTCAGGAGGTACCTCTCCTGACAGGTCAAGAAGTACCTCTCCTGACAGGTCAAGAGGTACCTCTCCTGACAGGTCAAGAGGTACCTTTCTTAACAGGCCAAGAGGTACCTCCCTTGACGTCTCTTATCAGTTCAAGAGGTACCTCTCTTATATATGCAAATACCTGTGAATATCTAGACGTCAAATTATGTTTGAGAGAATAAATGCGTCATGATTCAGAGGTAGAAGCATTGACTCAAATGGTCACTTGTACTAGTCACGTCTAGTCATGAATATAATATATAAGGATTGATGGGTCTCCCTTGTGTGTGTGTGTGTGTGTGTGTGTGTGTGTGTGTGTGTGTGTGTGTGTGTGTGTGTGTACTCACCCAGTTGTGGCTGCAGGGGTCGATTCATAGCTCCTGGTCATGCTGGTTGCTACTAGGTCCACTCTCTCCCTGCTCCATGATCTTTATCGTACCTCTTAAGGTTATGTGTGTCTCCTGCCTCCACTTGTATGTGTGTGGGGGATTATGCTAATATAGTTGTGCTTTGTAGGGATCGAATCATAGCTCCTAATTCTGTCTCATATAAACCAGATTTAACGATTCCTGGCCTCTACGACCTTGATCATACCTATACTTCAAACTGTGTATATAGTGTTACCCTCCACACCACCTCTTCAACTAGTCTATTACACTTACTGAAATTACATTTATAACCACGATATTATGACTTATTTTTTTCTCTCACCGGCTAATTTCGCGATACATCAAAGTTACGTTCCAAGATCACCTACCTCAGTAAATCATCCTTCCAAAACGTAAATTTTCGCTAGAGTTTATATATTTATATATATGTATAGTGGTGAATCATAGCTCAGGAATTTATTTCACAGTTAATCTCCATCTAAGACTTTCAGGTCACGGACGAACCCGGAGAGGGAGGCTGAGCCTCGAGGTTGATTTGTTGGTAAGTTTATAAAGCCCATTTTGTGTGCGAAACGTCGTTACTAAAGGATCGCATTTTATTACATTTGTGGTCTCTTATTTCTCTCGTGTTGACTTAACTTCTCTAGTTAGAATTTCGATGTTAGTAATTGAAAAGTATATAGTAAGATGATAAGTAAGCGGGGGCAAAAAAGTAGAAAGTATGAAAGTGGAAGAGGAGGAGAGAGAGAGAGAGAGAGAGAGAGAGAGAGAGAGAGAGAGAGAGAGAGAGAGAGATGGATGATAGTGTACATCCGTCGGAATCAGTAAGTGAAATATGATGTGCTCCTACCGTAGACTGAAGTCACTTCACTGTCTTCAATCATGGTTCTCTGGCCGGCCCCATCACAGAAACCCACTCCTCCATCGGGGCCCCAGGTTGTCGCTTTTGTCTTGACTTCCTCACGAAGCACCACTACGCAGACAGCCTCAACAGTTACATGGAGTTCTACAAACTCCACGCGCGGCCTTCGAAGGGGCTCGAGCGCTACGGTGGGCTGAGGCGAGGAGAAAATCACTCGCTCAACGGGACAGGGAACCGTACAACTAAGTCTTGAAGGCGCGTCCTCCCGGCTGGCTGCGGCGAGGCGCGTCTGAAGACACCTCGTCCAGCCGATAGTATGATCAACGTAGCACTATGTTATATAACATTAAAAGAATATAAGGGAGGTAATTTGGCCCTTGTGGTAGGAGGACGCACGAGCGATATTGACTGATGTACACATACATATGTCTACAATGTTTTAACCAGTCAACATTCATTATAGATTTGTTTATACTCAGTATTGCTATGCTATTTATCCACCTTTATAATGCATTTAGGAGACTAGCAGAGTTTGAGGAGCAAGTGCGTATGCGCTAGTGCGCTGACGTCATGTTTACTCTAGCTCATGAATACAGCTGTCAATACATATACATATACAATACAGCAGCGCTTTGTTATCGCCTCTGCGAAACGTGGCTATGATTGCATCTTACTTGTTGGTGTAACTCAGGATCTGGTAATGACCACACTAATCACACCTCAGGCACCTTTTCACCCGACCAATCATACCTCAGGCACTTTACTAACGAATCACATCTCTGTCACTTTCAAAGGTAACCAGTCACGCATCAGACACTTCCTCTGCCCACCAACCACACTTTGGTTACTTTCTCACTTAACCAATCACATCTTATTAGCATTCCTAGCCAACCAACTACACCTTAGTAACTTTCTCAGCCACTCACAAAATCACTTCCCCGGTGAACTACACCGTGAACCACACCGTGAACCACAACGTGAACCACACCGTGAGCCACACCGAATGACCTGGTGTAATACTGAAGACAGAGTAATTAATGACTAACTTCTGAGGTGAGTGTAGTCTTGTTTATCCTCATTCCTGCCCACAACCGTGGAGAATATACCGATAAGTGGACGCAAGGGTTGCTTTGGGCCCCGACCACCACTTAGGGGCCCTCAAGCAACTAAATATATTTGTTGCTTAACCCTTTCCTCTCAAGGGAGGTTCCTTGGTGAGAGGCTCTTGATCTAGGGAATTGGATCTGTGCTCCAGTTTCCTGAGACTGAATTCCTTCGATCCCCCCCCCCACAAGCTCTGTATAATCCCTACAGATTTAGAGCTCCTCCATGATAATAATAATAGCAATAATAATTCTTACCCCTTCAAGAGTGGCGGATCTATACGTAGTGTTTGACGGCATGCGGTCGCGATGGACAATCAATTATTTATTTACAACATTACTCAAACTATTTCGACCTCGTAATAAGAAAATTCCAGTTTTTCAAGTTGTTCTCATATTTTGTTGAATAGTTATTCCTGGAAAACAACAAATTTATACTGGAGCATTGTAGCAGGTGACCAGCGGCGGCAGTCATCCAGTCAACTGTGTGGCTGCCTCTCATGTTTAAATTTAATTTCGTCTAGTGCAGTAGCTGACAGCAACGAGGGGAAGGAAGGCCCCTTAAACGTTGCTGTCTTATGCCTTCTGTGCCTCTAACTTCTCCACTACCCACAAGCATTCCTCAGTATAGTACACTAATGAGCGTACTCTTGTGACACTCATACACGCGTCTTTCCGACCAGCGAAGACGCGGGGTCAGGAGCTGTGAATCGACCCGGAGGACCACAGATAGATGAGTACTCTCTCTCTCTCTCTCTCTCTCTCTCTCTCTCTCTCTCTCTCTCTCTCTCTCTCTCTCTCTCTTCTCTCTCTCTCTCTCTCTCCGTGACATAGACAGGTGTAGACAGATATACATCTTATGAAGAGAGAAAATAACTAGAACAAGAATTGTGCAATTTGTGAAGCTGTAAACCCATGTGGGTCAATCAGCGCAAGGGAAGGGGGGGGGGGAGAGAAAGAGCATAGATGAAACTTATATGTAAAGAAAACCAGGTCAGGTGAACTAACGTCGGAGTAGCGACAGGTGGTGACCCCAGGTCTCAGGTATCGACTGCCTTAGGTGTGACCCTTCTAGTGTGTTGAAAGTGGGTCGTGATGTAATCAATGGAGGCTCCAGGCTCTCACTCCCCTTCATTAATCTATGAATTGTTCTCTATGTATACATACACAGCTGGTGTTATGAATGTTTACATGGTGAAATTCAGGAAGTCCTCATTTAAAGTCTTTTCGTTCAACATCGTTTCATTACAACGTTGATGAGAAAAACAAATCAATTCCCGGGTAGGAATGGAAAATATAGAAAGACTTCTAAATATCTAGATGGAGGACATGCATCTGAGGAACTTTCCATGTTCGCTTATATCAGTTTCCTCCCTTATTGCTGTTTGTATTCGTTTTTTATGATATATAGCGTGTTTCTTATATAATTTTGAAAGCAAGTGATACCTAAAATAATAATAATGTCAATAACAGAGCAAATATACGACTTTATAGCGCCACAGAGCGACATACTCCATAGTGATGGAGTCTGAAGCACTACTGCCGTCCCTCTCAGCCGTAAAATTGGTTTCGTTATACGTCGTTTCGCTTAAAGTCACAGTTTCCAAGAACCTATCGACGACGTTAAGCGAGGACTTCCTGTATACTGGAAACAAGAGATACGAAAACATTATACTCTGGTTCTTACTTTGCAATCGTCTCAACATTACACTACATACCATTGTTTTATGTAATGATATACTGACAATAAAGACACAAGATGCAGAGCGAAGATAAAGACGCAAGGGACATAATGTTTCAGAAATGGGACACAGTAACAAGAGGTCACAACTGGAAGTTGAAAACTCCAATAAGTCATAGGGGTGTTAGGAAGTATTTCTTCAGCCTAGAGTTGTCAGGACGTGCAACAATCTGGAGAGTCAAGTAACGAAAGCAGGATCCATACACAGCTTTAAGAAGAGGTAAGATAAGGCTCGTGGTGCCGGAAGAAAGAGAGAGTAGACCCAGTAGTGACCAGCGAAGAAGCGGGGCCATGAGTTGTGACTCAGCCATTGCAACCACATATAGGTGAATACATATAGGCGAGTACATATATAGGTTAGTACATATAGGTGAGTACTGACAGCAGTGTGTAGACTCTGAGAGTGTGTGTCTAACGGATTCTATTGTTTAACGAATGACCAGCTCACGTAATGTCAAGCACGAACAAACACACGGTTTCTACACGAACGATCGTATATACAACTACATCAAAAGAATAATCTCATATTTCTTAAGCCACCCAATATACAATTACCGAATTTCTTGTGTTAGAGGAGGGGCAGTATTGCTGTGGCTCGCCCAATACATTTTTCATGAGTTTTTTTAGCAATATACATAAATAATTTTAGTGTCTCGTTCATATGTGTTAGTTTTCTTTCTATTTTTTGTCACTATTATTATTATTATTATTATTATTATTATTATTTATTTTATTATTATTATTATTATTGTCCATTATTATTATTATTATTATTATTATTATTATATTATTATTATTATATATATTGTCTTTATTATTATTATTATTATTATTATTATTATTATTATTATTATTATTAATTTTTATTATTGCCATTTTATTATTATTATTATTATTATTATTATTGTTTATTATATTATTTTATTATTATATTTTTATTTTAATTATTCATTATTATATTATTATGTATTATTATTATTATTTTTTATTATTATTTTTATTATTATGTCATTATTATTATTATTATTATTATTATTATTATTATTATATTATTATTATTATTATTATTATTATTATTATTCTCATCATGGGGAGGCAGCCAAACTCTAAAAATATTACAATTAAAGAAATACAAGTGCTGGATAAATCTCAGTAACATTTTTTCCCAGCATCTACAACACTTAGCGTGACGAATATTTTGCCATTTATTACTGAGTTTGTAGCTGCACTTAACACCCACCTAGTAATCAATAGTACATCAGTCATGCTATTGTCACTCACTACACCAGTATGTATATATATTATAATATATATATATATATATATATATTTTATAATATATATATATTATATAAATATATATATATATATACAACCTTCCCATAGGAGGAACTTACGACAACGTTTCGGTCCGACTTTGACCATTTACAAAGTCACACTAGCACAAAAGATTGAGGGAACCAGTATATATAGGTGAAGGGGAACAGGGACGGAATCAAGAGAGGAAGAAAAAGAATTAATGGTAAATCTGGTAGTAGAAGTAGTAGTAGTAATAGTAGTAGTACACATATACAGGTGGGGACGATATACTAATTAATTCATGTAATTCCTCACTCACACAGCTGACTGGAGACGTGTAAATACAGATAAGAAATCTGCTTGGCAGACAGATAGGAAACAAGAAATAGATACTGCCTGGTAGGTAGACTACCTGCCAGGTAGTCCCTATTTTCGACCATTCCCTGGGGAACTAGCCAGCAATTTCCCTGCTACTACATTACACTGTCTCTTATAAGATAATTGTGTTGAAGGAAGCAGCTCATTTGCATACAGAAAAAGGAGTTGTCCTTTATACAACTGGCTCACAATAAGGGCTGTCCTTTATACAACTGGCTCACAATAAGGGCTGTCCTTTATACAACTGGCTCACAATAAGGGATGTCCTTTACACAACTGGCTCACAATAAGGGCTGTCCTTTATACAACTGGCTCACAATAAGGGCTGTCCTTTATACAACTGGCTCACAATAAGAGCTGTCCTTTATACAACTGGCTCACAATAAGGGCTGTCCTTTATACAACTGGCTCACAATAAGGGCTGTCCTTTATACAACTGGCTCACAATAAGGGCTGTCCTTTACACAACTGGCTCACAATAAGGGATGTCCTTTGCACAACTGTCTCACAATAAGGGCTGTCCTTTACACAACTGGCTCACAATAAGGGATGTCCTTTACACAACTGGCTCACAATAAGGGCTGTCCTTTATACAACTAACTCACAATAAGGGCTGTCCTTTACACAACTGGCTCACAATAAGGGCTGTCCTTTACACAACTGGCTCACAATAAGGGATGTCCTTTACACAAATGGCTCACAATAAGGGATGTCCTTTACACAACTGGCTCACAATAAGGGATGTCCTTTACACAACTGGCTCACAATAAGGGCTGTCCTTTACACAACTGGCTCACAATAAGGGATGTCCTTTACACAACTGGCTCACAATAAGGGATGTCCTTTACACAACTGGGCTCACAATAAGGGGTTTTCCTTTACACAACTGGCTCACAATAAGGGCTGTCCTTTACACAACTGGCTCACAATAAGGGCTGTCCTTTTACACAACTGGCTCACAATAAGGGCTGTCCTTTACACAACTGGCTCCCCAATAAGGGATGTCCTTTACACAACTGGCTCACAATAAGGGCTGTCCTTTACACAACTGGCTCACAATAAGGGCTGTCCTTTACACAACTGGCTCACAATAAGGGCTGTCCTTTACACAACTGGCTCACAATAAGGGCTGTCCTTTACACAACTGGCTCATTTAAAGAGGGATGTCCCTTTACACAACTGGCTCACAATAAGGGCTGTCCTTTACACAACTGGCTCATAATGAGGGATGTCCTTTACACAACTGGCTCACAATAAGGGCTGTCCTTTACACAACTGGCTCATAATGAGGGATGTCCTTTACACAACTGGCTCATAATGAGGGATGTCCTTTACACAACTGGCTCACAATAAGGGCTGTCCTTTACACAACTGGCTCATAATGAGGGATGTCCTTTACACAACTGGCTCATAATGAGGGATGTCCTTTACACAACTGGCTCACAATAAGGGGTATCCTTTACACAACTGGCTCACAATAAGGGGTATCCTTTACACAGTTAACTCACAGTAAAGGATGTCCTTTACACAACTAATTCACAATATGGCATGGCGAGTTGTGAACTTATCTATCGACGATATTGTGGATTTGTTGTTCCACTATGCTATTGTGGCTTGTATATTTTTTCCAGCCATGTTCTATGATTCCTTATTCTTTAATTAAAAGTTGTGTTCTTAAAGCATGGAATCCAGTATCTTTCTCGTAGGATACATGGAATCCAGTATCTTTCTTGTAGGATATATTGAATCCAGTATCTTTCTCGTAGGATACATTGAATCCAGTATCTTTCTCGTAGGATACATTGAATCCAGTATCTTTCTCGTAGGATACATGGGATCCAGTATCTTTCCTGTAGGATACATGGAATCCAGTATCTTTCTT